CAGCAGCTAGAGCATGGAAAATAGCTAGAAAACCATACCTCACTCGTCCAATTTGGTGGCCGGAGGTGTCCATACGGTTATGCCACTGAACTTCTTTTGATCGTAACTCCTTCGTTATAACTCCGATTTGAGCCCACTATGTGTCTACGGACTCATCTCGCTGCGCTCTACGCAACGGTATAATTGAAATCCCTAAATTTCTTCCTGGTCAAAAAGTCAACTTTTAAATTATTAAAATATTCTAAGGGTATAATTGTCTTTTACTAGAATAAATTAATAATTAAATATTAATTAAGGACCGGGTTGTTACACCCTTAGGACGCTTTTTATGGGCTGCGGCTCCCAAAGGAAGCTCTGGTCATCGCCCTGTGTCTCCCTTAGGATGCTGCTTATGGGCAACTGTTGTATTTTGTAGGCAGATAAGACATTTTGGAATGAGAAACTGAACTTATATTGATATTCATAAGATTACAGTCCTTTATTCGAAAATGAAAATAACTGAGTATAAAACTTGAAACTTCTAGCAGTCATGAGGAAGTATTATGGATAATACTTTCGGAGATGGTGAACATTCCATTGTCGTGGTATTTGCTTCCCATCCATGGTGTCCAATGTGTAGCTTCCTCTGCCCCCGGACCGGCTGATCACATAAGGGCCTTCCTAGTTGGGATTCATCTTTTTCAACCCTTGTCTTGGTGTGGTGATGAAAGCCTTTCTTAGCACGAGGTCGCTTGGTTGAAACTATCTGACCTTAGCTCTTCTGTCATAGTAAGACTTCAACTGCTGCTAGTAGGAGGCGACTCGGATAATGGTCTTCTCACGTTCCCCCTCAAGTAGGTCAAGGTTGAGCCTCATTTGCTTGGAGTTCTGATCAACGTTGCCCACCTCGAGGCTTATGGAGGGGACTGTGATGTGAGGAAGGATGATCGCTTCCGTCCCATAGGCGAGGGAGAATGGGGTTTCACCAGTTGACCTTCGCTTGGTGGTGCGATAAGCCTATAGTACTCCGGGGAGTTCATCCACCCATTTCCCTTCGGCGCCTTCTAGCCTCTTCTTCAAGCAGTCCAATATGACTTGTTGGATGCCTTGGCCTGCCCATTTCCTTGTGGATACCTCGGAGTGGACAGGTGTTGTTTGATCTTGTATTTCGCAAAGAAGACGGTGATATGCTTGCCAATGAACTGTGAGCCATTGTCAGTGACTAGCGACTGTAGGCAGCCAAATCGGCAGATGATGTTTCTCCAGATGAATCGCTCCACATCCGCTTCTTTAGTAGAGGACAGAGCTTCGACCTCGATCCATTTAGTGAAGTAGTCGATAGTGACGATCGTCATTTCTTTCTTGGCGGGCGCCGGTGGCAAGGGACCCACTAAGTCGATGGCCCATTGCATGAATGACCATGGACTGCTTTGTGGATGGTAAACTTCGACAAGCAAATTAGGGATTGGCTTGTATCGCTGGAAACGATTACACTTTTTGACATATTCAGAGGAGTCGTAGTGCATGGTAGGCCGGAAGTAGTCTATTTTTAGAGCCTTCTAGGCGAGTGACCTGCCCCCAGAGTGGTTGCCACACTCGCCGTCGTGAATTTTGCAGAGGACCTTAAGTGTTTGAGGGTATTTTATACAGGTAAGGTGAGGGCCAGAGTATGATCTGCGGATGAGCTTGTTGTCGCGCATGTAGTATCTCGCGGCCTTCTACTGGACCTTCCTAGCTTCGGACTTGTCCGGTGGCAGGTTTCCATTCACTAAGTAGTCAATGATGGGGTCTTGCCAGCTGTGGTCCTCGTCAATTTGCATGGTGTCGATTGGCTTTATTTCTTCAATGCTTGGTCGGTCAAGGTGTTCGACCGGGATGAAGCGTCTGAGTTGGGTATCCAGCGCTAACCCTAGGCTGGCTAGTGCATCTGCATGCGCGTTCTGTGCCCGGGGTACTTGTTGGATGGTGAAGGAAGGAAATGCCTTCAATAGCTCCTGGACTTTGTTAAGGTACAAGATCATCCTTGGGTGCTTCGCCATGTATTCACCTGACGCTTGATTCGCGATCAACTGGGAATTTGAGTAGATGGCTAGCTTCTTAATTGCGAGTTCCTTCGCCAAGCGCAGGCCAGCGAGCAATGCCTCATATTCTGCCTCGTTGTTTGAGGCCGGGAAGCCAAGCGTGATAGCTTGTTCCAACAAGGTTCCATCAGGGGTGATGATGACGACACCCACTCCAACTCCTTTTTGGTTTGATGCTCCGTCTACCCACAATTGCCACGTGTCTCTAAGTTGGCTAGGTCCTGTGGAGGTCCCGTCTGCTCTTGAACTTTCCTTATTTTTGTTGACTAATTTCTCTTCTTTGGCTGATGGGGTGAACTCTACCACGAAGTCTGCTAAAGCCTGGGCTTTTATTGCAGCTTTTGGCCTAGTAGAGGAGGTCATATTGGCTTAGCTCTATAGCCCACTTTATGAGTCGCTGAGAAGCGTCAGGGCTGTGAAGGATTGATCTCAAAGGAAAGTCGGTCATGACGATGACTCGATGAGCTTGGTAGTAGGGTCGTAGCTTTCTCGCGGAAACTATAAGAGCTAAAATGAGTTTCTCCAATTTTGGGTAACGAGTCTCTGCATATATGAGAGCTTTTGACGTGTAGAATACTGGATGTTGGGCCCCCAGCTCTTCTCGAATGAGAGCTGAACTGACTGCTGAGTTGGACACTGCCAGGTACACGAACAAGTCCTCACCAGGGACTAGCTTTGAAAGCAGGGGAGGTGAAGTGAGATAAGTCTTCAAACTCTGAAAAGCTACTTCGCACTCCTCATCCCATTTGTCTCTTTGTCCTTTCTTCAAAGCTTTGAAGAATGGTTTACACTTGTCGGTTGATCTCGAGAGGAATCGGTTGAGGGCCACTACTTTGCCCATTAGACTTTGTATTTCCTTCATTGTGGAAGGCGACTTCATCTCAAGAATGGCTTTGATTTGACATGGGTGTGCCTCAATTTCTCTTTGTGTGACTAAGTATCCCAAGAATCGACCGGAGGATACACCAAACGTGCATTTACTTGGGTTCAACTTCATGCGATACTGGCGGAGCAGGCTGAATGCCTCGGCGAGGTTTTTGAGGTGATCTGCACTTTTTGGGGCCTTGACCAGCATGTCGTCCACGTATACCTCCATAGTTTTGCCGATTTGCTCCTTGAAGATTTTATTCAC